AGAAAGTATCATATTGACTGAGTGAAGAGAAACTACCAAGACGCGTAAAAGATAAATTTAAGAAAGAAAGAATTATTATCGTTTATGTAACAGTAAACTAGCTACGAATCATTGGTAATTTTTTAGAACAATATGACTTCTTTATATTAAACTGATAATTTTATCTAGTTTGTATAATTATCTCACAGCTGAGGTAATTAGATACCTATTTGCATAAAAAATACGCTAAAATAAACATCTTTAAAATGCTTGCAGTTCTCTCAGGAGAAGGAAAACTGGTTCGTATTACACAGGTCACACTCGCAAAACCTGCACACGTAATTTTATTTTATGAAATAACACAGCACGTGTGAAAATCTAGTTTGTTGGTAAAAAAAAAAATATATACATATTTCCCTGAATATTTTATCGTACAATGCGGATTTCAGCGTAACGAAATAATTTGTTTGCAGATTTGAAATAAAAATAGCAATGTGTGTTTCTACAATGTCGTAAAAACAAACCATATTTTTCAACATTTCTCACACAAAACATTATTTTAATTGCGGCATGATATCGTTTTAGAAAAAATGAAATGTGTAACACATTCGTGACGAAACAAGCGAAAGAAAGAAAGAAGAAAACAAAGAAACAAAGAAACGCGTTTAACAAAAAAAAATAACTCGAGTGTACGCAAAAGTATTTATTCCTAAGGCGTTTAACTTTTATGCGAAAAGTTCGCGGCATATCGCTCACATAAATCGCGGGCTTTTAAACGCAAGATTTATTAGCTACTCCACTTACAGCAAAAAAGAGTCTATAAAGTCATGTATATTTCGTTACCACGATATACGTTTAGTGTAACTTATAATGCTCTCCCCTGTGTGTGCGAACGCACAAAAAAAGTATTGCGGTTTATTTTCCTCTTTTCGCGTCACTTCGCCAACGTATGATTTTCTACTCGTTCACAAGAGGGTTAATTTGTAAATAATAGTCCCTCACGCGATTTAAGAATTTCTCTCACGCAAACCACCGACGAGACTTACCGGGAAATAACACAGGGAGAGGGTAAAGAAACGATGATTTCGCCGCGAGCTCGTATATTTTTTTCCCACAGAACGGGAGAGATTTTATGAATTGGAAACCGCTTTTTCACCGTTGATTTGCATCGAGCGAAAAGCCGTCGCAAAAAAGACGTCGAATTCGGGCATTCGATCACGCGATCAAACTGTTAGAAAACTGTCGGAAGATCTCATTTTAACGATCCGTGTGTCGGGCTGTAACGGTTAGAATCGTGGGATATATAGAATCCGTCGCGCACGCGGAAACGTTCTGCCCCGGGATCTGCCATCAGCAGAGAGCTATATGAAACCCTGACGTGGCTGCCAGGGTTGTAATTGTCGTCCTTTGTCCGTCATACGAGCTTGCGGAACCGGCCGGCGGTGAACCGCAAGCTTTACCGACCCTGTGCTGGAACCACTGAGCCGTACGAGCATTATCGCATCAGGTGCTTAATCCTTGGTTTATCACCTGCGATGCCGACTCCCGACGTCGGACTCCGTTGCGAGAAACCCGCTAACGGGGTCGTCGTTTCCTTGTTGTCGCGAATTTACCGCTGACGCATCGTGCGAATTGAATGAAACTGCTGCTCACGGATGTTTTCCCCGGTTGTGCCGCTCGTAGATAACGGGAAGTTTATATCCTCCGCCGTGATTTATCTTGTACAATTTTTATCGATTCCGCTTATGTCGCGCGCGCACGCGCGCGGAAATATTGCGGAAGTGTCTTTTTTTTTTTTTCCATCCGAAATTCTCGCGAAGTAAATTTACTTTCTTTATGTTTAGTTTGATGCACGCGCACATTTGTTCTACGTAGAATGAAAATTTCATTGAAGCGCGAAAATCCGTTTGTATATTAATACAAAAGTGAAAAATCGTTCTCATCGCGTTCGCGTAAATATCAAACTTCGTTTCTGTATTAACTCCGGGAGCATTGCAACTTACAAGCGATAACGAGTCGTAAATACCAAAGTTACACATAATAAATTCCGATTCTCTCGCTCGCGCGGTATTTCCCTCAGGTAACACTTATTATTTCAGTCGCGGCGGCGGCGGCGGCGGCGCGAAGAATAGAAAGAGAGTGAGAAAGAGAGAGAGAGAGAACATCGATATACTCGGCGCCAGCCGCGGAAATACGTTCGGAAGTAACGTAAATATCGCAATAAAAGGCGTGGCCCCCCCCCCGAATATTGCGAGCATTATGAAAAGCCATAAAGTACTGCCCTAAGGGCCAGTCAGCTGCCGCCCGGGATCAATATCCGTGCTCCGACTGTACAACAACAGCGACGAATACGTATCGCGAATGTGTAGCGCGCATCGTTACGGTAGGTATGTACATCGTTACAGATGGCCGTAACGGTCTGAAACGTCGGCTCGAAAGCGATCGGCGCAGATCCCAATAAATGAACGTGTCACTTAATTCGCGTCACAACGCGATCACGCGACAGAACTTGAAAACTTACGCAATCACGATCGTCGGAAATCGCGCGAATACCGCTGTCGGAATAAAGCAGTCGCTGTCGCGCGATCGCGAGAACGATTGTGTCTTGCCAGATGCCGGCGAAGCGAAGGAATGTATTTGCAAGTAAGTAGTACATTTTCAGAGATGAACGCTTGGAGCATCGCGTCTCGGAGAGTTGTTCGCGCTGGAATTCAAGCACTAATTAGACGGCTTGAAAAGAGAGACTACTCTTTATATTAAAATTACATTTTTTGTTTTAAAGAAGAAAGGACGAGGTGGTAGGGTTTAATCGCAGAAGTGTGTGGTTGTTCTTTACACGAGGAGGGTAGCTTTTTGCAAATTAAAAGTTTATATAAGAAAACATTTTCGAGAAAAAGTTTAATAAGAAAGTGCAATTTTTATATAAATAGAATAACACGCGCTAGGCTTTTCAAGCAATTTGAAGTTAAAATTCGTTTGCTCGGTCCTATGCTTTTTTTGTGCAAAAGTCCTCTAGTTAAAAATTGTTTTGCCCCGTTAATTATAACTTCTCCCTTCGTTTTCTTTTCGACAACCTTAGCAAACTACTACGGGCATGAGTAGAACTCTTGGTTGAAAAAAAAAAAAAATAAAATAAAACGCAGCTTCTTCGCAATCTTTTCGAAAGGTCGATCGTCTCGTAGTTTTGACTGCACGACGAGCAATCGAAAATTTTACGCGAACCACTTGTGTGTCCAGAGTGCGTCAGAAATTGCGCACAAAAAATAAATTGACAAACGTTCCGGTCAAGTGACATTCGAGGTTTGTTTCACGGCTCTTCGACAGACAAAGGAAGGGAGCCAGAAAAAAATTTGCGTTGAAACAGTTGCCAGATTTTTACGTACGTTTGGAATATAAAATCAGCGAACGATATTTCGAAGTCTCGATCTCGCGGAATCGGGTCTCATCGCGTCGTTGTACGTTGTATTATTTTCGAAATGCCAACCGTGCGTTACGCGTCGTTTTCGCGTGAAAAATATCGCGGCGAGATTTCAGTTTTACGGCAAGCACGAAAAATAAGTCTTTTGGTTCGGGAAAGTGTGCGGCAAATATTCGTATATCATTGTCCGATCCTATGATTGATGTACAAATGATGATTCGTTCGTTCGCTTTCCCAACAGAATAGATTCGAGGTAATTTCTCAGAAGCAATAGCGTTAAAAGATCAGAAAGAAAAAGGGTTGGGGAGAGGGATTTTCTATCTTCTAGCGTGTAGTAGATTCAGAATTTACGGATCATCGACTCGCGCTTTCGCACACCACGACAGACAAAGCGCCACGATAACGTCAGGTGGAAATCCGAAATGCTTCCATCGGAAAGCTCTGCGTAAGGTATCGACAGGTGTACGCGTTCTGTGATCGGCTCACGAAAATCCTATATTCAGCGGTTAACAATCTCCGCCAACCGGTTTTACGACACGTACTGTTTCGTTCTCCGTAGTGTCGATAAAACCCACCACTTTCGAATTCGCGACATTCCATCTCGCGGATGTTATTTCGCTTGAATGTTTTTCTCTTTTTCTGTACAAAAATTATCTTATTTGATACTTTTTTGCAATTTATGTTTTTCTTTTATATTACAGGACGAGGCAAGTGTCTTTTTTTGAACACATTTGTATTTATTTTATTAGTTATTATGATTATTTATTTGTTTTGTAAAATTAAATCGATCGAACGTTTTTTGCACTCGAGAAAAACATTGCTGGCGGCTTCCTCAAGTTTTTGTTCCAATCTCTTTACATGTTAGATATTACCAAAACATATTGACATATGTTTTGCTAAAAACGTGTATATGTCAAATTTATATAGGTACTAGCACAACACAGGCGCGCACGCTATTGTTTACCGTTTTTATTTTACCGTGTAGTGTCAGTGAACACAACCTGTCACCACGATGACAGCTAGTATATATGTTTTACAAACAATATAATACACATAATGTACATATGAGAGATGTCAGAAATAACGCGGTCACCCGGCTGAGATCAGTCACCCCCTCACCAAGGCCGCGCGGCCGAGGTCAGTGCCCCGTCAAGGCCGCGCGGCCGAGGTCAGTGACCCCGCCAAGGCCGCGCGGCCGGGTCAGTGACCTCCCCCCACCACGGTCGCGCGGCCGAGGTCAGTGACCTCCCCCCACCACGGTCGCGCGGCCGAGGTCAATGACCCCGCCAAGGCCGCGCGGCCGAGGTCAGTGACCCCGCCAAGGCCGCGCGGCGGAGGTCAGTGACATTACTGTAGTATGTATATAATACACATATACTATATTATAAAGTATAATAATTTAAATATATAATAAATTATATATATGTAAAATATATATTATTTAATGGTATATATAATATAAATTACAGTCACGTTACTTTAGTCACGTGTTGTTTTTCTACTCATTCGACTCAAAAACGCGCACTTTGCGGTATACATGGATTTTTTAATGAATGATTATGGAGAAAGCAGTTAATATTTTTAAATGTATATATATACTCACTTGTTTCCGGAATTCTGGTGTCAGAAGTGACTAGAAGATGGGCCGCGAGTTGGGCCCGATGTCCGGAAGTACTCTCAGCCACGCATTCGTATGTGCCGCTGTCCTCGAGCTTCGCGGAGGATATCACGACTTTCGATCTCCGCCTGTAAATCAAAGAATCATCTGGTTCAGAATAAATCGTCGTAATATCTATAACGACGAAATCTCGCAATTTGCAAATTCTCTCGGTGTGGAATAAAATTCGACATAATTAATCAGTGATAACACCTGTAATACTTGTCAATCTCAACGTTATCATAAATTTCGAAAAAAAAAACACTTTAAAAGACAGCATTTTACTCGAATTAGAATCAATTACTCGATTGTGTGCGCGATACAATTTTGAACCATTACTCGGATTCAATTGTCGGTCGTGACGAAATTCGGACTTTAATTATCACGTTCGCAAATCCGTGCACGCGCGCTCTCATCGAGTCCCGACTTGGCCGATTTTCATTTCGTCAATCGCTCGGTACACGAGCTAGTCCCTGGGAATTAACCATCGCGGCTGATACGCATTACATCGAATTTATTGACGCGTCGATAACAGAATTAAATAGTCGATTTGTCGGAGAGCGTAGCCGTTGACGCATGCCGCGGTAATGGTTCAATAAGCACGGATCAGCGAATCGCGAATCGGAAATTCGCTTCGTTATTAGTCGCGATGAGAGAGTTTCGGTGCTTCCGACCTCGCCATTACAAGCGAGAGAAACGGTCGAGTGTGTGTTATACGCGATTTTCGCAAATGTATATACCATACGCGTTTTCAGTCTCATGTTACCTTTCCATCAATCGCGGAAACTGCGATTATTACCGCGTTACAAGACCTTCATCGCGCAACCGGTGATATTACCGCGCTAACATTACACGAGAACCGCATTTCTAAGTTGCATTTCAATTACCTGGTTGATTGCTCGTGCCGAAAACTACGGCGGCGATTACGCCACTGGCGAGAGTTCGTGTAGATAATATGTGCTAACGCAATTAAACGAGGTCGCATGATCGCAATGTGATTTTCATCGGACATGAGAGTCGGAGAATTGATACACCGTCCGGTAATATAAAGAGAAAGAGAGACAGATTCGGTAGAGGAAACTCCAAGAGACACACTTTATTCAAGCGATGAGATTACGTGCTACGTCTGTAATTTAATTTGAGGAAACGTGATTCTGAATTGTACAATCAGTTTTGTAGCTTTAACTTTCCCAGTCTCGAACAACGAGAATTATCAATTCGCACGTGTTTTAATTCGTTATTTTCAAACGACGATAAGAGTCATTATCAGTGCGGTTCTTTAAAAAGAAAAAAAAAAACAAATTATCTTTTAAATCAGAATGCAAGTTTCGGCGCGTAATTTTGCAAATTAACTTGTACGAGATATTGTGTACGTTGTTTTCACGAACTCATCGATTTTTCTAATGCGAACACGTTATCCACGTTAGTATGCCGCTATAAATGGCGCGTTAACTCGTTTCACAAGTTACGTCAAGTTTATCGGCGTCAAATAATGAAATTAGACGGCCGATTTATCGAAGAGCGAAAGAGAGAGAGAGACAGGAGGAAGAGAAAAAGAGGAGGAAAGAGAAAGACAGGACTATATCGTCACGTTTGAGGAACTTTAGCTATCGAAGGGAGGGATTGGAGGGGATTAACTTATTATTATCTTCGTCGAGATTTCGAAATCCGAACTTGGCTGCTCAAAGAGATTCCATAAAGTTCTAAGAAGGCGGGAAGTTTTCGTCCTCTCTCCTCGGGGAGAATCGAGCTCTCGAATATCCACGCGACGTAAGCTTGCGCCGTGGCAGAGAGCAAAGCGATTTGAAATTTCTGGACTCTCTATAGTTTTAGGAGCAAACTCGTTTTTCTGCGACCTCCGCCCGCGAGCAGACTTCTCCATATTTTCGAACGTGCGAGGAGAGCAAATTTAATAAGTTCAAGTGTTCACATACACGTCGAACGACGGAAACTCAGTCGACGAGGCCGACAAAAGCAATCCCAGAGGCCGAAGCCAGTTGCGCCAACGATACTTCGTACTTTGGTTGTGATTCGCGTATTTCTTGCTGATATTTTGCAGATCTTGAGAAAATCGTATTCAAACTACAGATATCAACGATTTTTAGTTTTACACGTAAAACGTTTTTTCTCATGTATATATTTTAATTTTTGTGGAAATTAAATAAGTTTTTGACACATTTTCACGAGTCTAATTTATAAATAATTAAAAGTTTACATGTGCGCGCGCGTTATCTAACATTTTGCGATTGACGAAACTGTTTTATTTTGACAAAAAAAAAAAAAACGTAGCCCGATTGTGCGATTCATAAAAAGATAATGGATTAAAAGTATATATATATATATATATTCTCTGTGTGTGAGATTTTTTGTATCTTTTTTACCATTGATTTGATTTGCAGCGCGATTGAAATAGATTGTTAGAAAAAATGCAATTTTAGAAAAAAATATTTCAATTCTATTTAAAAAAAAATTATCTCCCAAAATGGAGGTAACTTTATGATGTTTTCTGTATCTTTTTGTATTATTTTTTTTGGCTTTATTTTTAGTTCGCTGATTAATATCGTTGATTAAATGTTGATTAAATGACTCTGTTTTCAAAAATATGCGCGACACAAAGAATATAACAAAAATTTAGAAGATGAGAGAGAGAGAGAGAGAGAGAGAGAGAGAAACGAAAAAAAAAAGCTATTTTCTATCTGAAGAAACAGTATTTCCCTCCTTGAAGATACGGCAGCGCCGCACCGCGAGAGGCGTGTCTCAATGCTAGAAATCTCTCTGGAGTAACAGATTTTGTCTCATTTACATATCTCTGCGTTTCTTGCCGGACCTGAGAAAGATCTCCGGCTGCCGCGTTTTATCTTCCGTAGCTATTGCTCGGCATATCAACGTCAAAGGTCGTAGAAAGAAGAGCTTCCGTGAAAATATGTTTCCGCTCGAAATATGCTACGCGGTTATAATTAAACGTTTGCATTTTTTAACTGCCTTTACTTGACGTCGACTAACGAGCTCCTACCAGTCGCAGTAAAACGAGTCGCAAGCTATTAACTTCAGTCGCGAGTGAATAGATTGTTGTCATTGTCGGAAACAAAACTAAAATATGGTTTTATATTGTCGTGTCTCGGCTGCGCGCGCGTATGTGTGTGTGTGTGTGTGTGTGAGTACGAAAACATTTCACACTGATTACATTTTTTTAGAACAAATGCAATAAATGTAGGTTAAACGCCGTGTAATTCTCGATATGCTAAAAAATTATAATATGTATAATTATATTAACATTTAAAGCGCACATTATATAAAACAAAAATATGCAAATTCCACGCATTTTATATATGTTCTAAGTAAAAAAAAAAAACTCGATTTTTATTTTCTCACAATTTGCTTATTTTATACACGAAATAATATCTTCTTTATCGTTTTAATAAACAATATTGTTTTAATGTGTCGCATTCAATCAGGTCGTTGAATATCAAAGCGAATTAAAACATCAGTAGGTAGGAAATTAAATTTAAACGAAGCTTAAAGCGAATAACAAAAAAAAAAGAGACCGTTCGAAATTAGGTCTCGTGAAAAATTCGCGAGTATCAACAATGACATATACAGATTCAGAGGGCATTATGGGATTAATTCCCGGTGGCAAATGTCAACCGTGAATATTACGCGGCGTTCGATCATGGAGGTCGGATCTCTGCGCTCTTTTTTTTTTTCCGTGTCGGACGCAACGAAATGAAATCCGTTTCGCAGCGCGCGGCCGTAAATTTTGCGTAAAATCGCGGTCGGTCGACGTAACATTATGCGAGAAACGTTTAAACAGCGAGTCCTCCCCGACCGCGATCTTCACAAAGAGTCGACGCGAGATTAATTGCGATGTAAACGCGCGCGCGAAGAGAGAACGAGAGGGGAGTAAAGAGAACGAGGGCAACGGGACACGCTCAAATCGTGCTGAATCTTTGTTTCGCGGGTTGCGCCGGCAGTCGCAATTTGTAAAATGAGCTTGTCGCCGCTCGCGCGCGCATGTACGCGCGCCCGTGCAAATATTGTAACGGGTAATTGACGCGATGCAACTTTGTGGGGATACGCGCGTATATCCCCATCGTAACGTTAAACCGTCGATTATTCGGCCCGACACGGCGCCTGTCATTTCGAATTGCTTTTCGAACGATTACCGTGTCATCGTTTTGAAATACAGTTGATACCTGCTGACGGTTCTTATTTCGTATTTCTCCGCAATTTTAACGGATCAATGTGACGATCAATGCAACGATCGGCGGTTTAATCGAACGTCACTTTTACACCTGTCTCGGGGGCAATAATGCATTTATCTCGACCCCGATCTCGCTCGACGTGATAAATACGAATTCTATGTGGGAGAAATGTCGAATGCGAAATCTTGATTTTAAAAAATCATGAGATTTGCCAATTGTTCTAAAATATGTGTAATTAATCGAAATAGAAAAATTAATAACGCAAAGGAATATGTAAATTAGAAAGAATGAAGAAAATTCAAAGATTTTAAATTGTTTACTTGCAATTATTTTTATACGAGATAAAACGAAATTATATCAAAATATTTTGATTTTGTTTTTTTTTGGCAATATCAGCTCTTTATACGAGACATTTATTTACTACTGGATTTCACTAAAGAGTAATCCTTTATGAATGCGCACGTCTATTCATCCCCTTTAAGCGATTTCACATGCACGCGTGTACGAGATACACACGTTCACGTGCGAGCGGGACAGCGTGAAGGGATGGGATGCACAAGAAGGACAGCGCGGTAGCGCTGGTGAGATACGATGAGAAAACGACAAAAAAAAAAAAAAAAAAAAACATCGGTGAGAGAAAACGAGCCACCGTGCGACTGACAGAAAAAGAGAAAGATAGACGGAGATGGGAAGAGAGGGAGAGAGAACACGGTTTCTAATTCGGTGCCGCGGCAAAAATCGACACACCGTCTAGACTACCGACACTTTCCGCTCGCACAGTCTCGCCTGGTATATTTCGCCGGTCGGAAGAGCGAAGCTCTCGCGGGAAGCTCGAATGAAGAGTAAAGGGGTAGAATGAAAAGAGGAAATAACTCAAGAAGGCGAAC